GACATTTTAGAAAAGGAAAAATTACACGTATTTTTTTAAAACTTTTTCTGCTTACCTTATACTTTCTACAAAATAAGGGGTAAATTATGCGGCTTCAGCACAACTTTGCCTAACAAATTTATATTTTACAATTATGTGGTAAAACTTTATGAAACAACTACAAATAATTCAAAAATAAGAAATAATTAGAGGCCTTTTTTAATTATTATTTTGTTAGAATTAATTTATGAGTACAATTTAACCATTAGAAATATATATCATAATAACTTAGATTCTCAATTGCAAACTAATATATTCAATGTTCTAGATTGATCCCAATCATAATGTATAAATATTTATGTCTCATTTACTATTTTTATTGTTTTGTATAATTAAAATCATACATTCTATAATATGTTTTATAAAAATGTTGTTTCATTTTTCCAATCTACTGAGAATTATTGAAATTTCATTATAGTAAAATTTATTTTTTAGATTCTATTATTTAATATTAATTATAACATTTTGAGTTTATCATTATTTCTTTTCATTTATATATAAATTACGTCTTTTACTTAATTATATTTCATATTATATTTTATATTGACCTCGGTAGTTTTACTTGTGCGTAGTATCATATTTTTTCTCTCATAAAATATATTTTGTATTGCTATTAATAAATATTAAAGCTTTAGCTTGAACCCGAATACTTATGTTATTTACAACTATAAATCAATTTAAACTACACATTTACAAGTTAGAAAGAATACATGATTAGAAGAATTTTAGTTTTCTTGATTAAGTCAATCTTGTTCTAGTTTTATTGTGAAAGAATATCTTACACGGATAAAACTTAGAAGGCATATATATGGTTAAAAGAATTTTAATTTCTTAGGTAAGTTAATCTTATCTTATTGGGATATTTAATCATTATTATATCCTTACATATTTTTACAAAATAATTCCTCTTTTTATAATTGTATACCTTTTATAAGAGTATAGAAAAACTAATCTTCAAGTGATTATCTTTGCAAACTCTTCAATTTTAACCATATATATAGCTTTTAATTTCGAACTCCGAACACCGACAATTTGGGGTGAAATAAAAAATAGTTGAAATTTATTAAAAAAAAAATAAAATGCTCTCAACTCTTCTCCTCATTGAACTTTAGCTTTCATCTTTAATGAAACGATATCCTAGAAGTAAAGTTTTTATAAAATGAAAATTAAAAAATCCTAAACGGCTAACTCAAGAATGTATTGATTATGTAGATAATGAGGATTACTTGTGAGTTAAAAAGGCGAATGTACCTTCTGGAGCCAAAGGAGATTGGGGGCAACCACGAATGTCAGCTCCATGGCCACAGTTATGACATGTCATGATGTATGAAGGCACTGAAATTCGAAGAAACAATGTGTCGTTAAACAACAAAAAATCCATCGACGAAGCAGACGGTAACCGAATGGCAACAAGTTCTAATTTCAGCTGGCATATTTCTTTTAACTCATTTTTCGTTTTTTGTTTTCTAAGAAAGAGGAAACGAAAAGAAAAGTAGAACAAGTGAAAATGTTGCTTTCCGAAAAGAAAAAAGGAAGGTAATAGATTTAATTCACATTAAAATGACTAAAGAAGGTGAAGTTAAGGACTATAATGAAAATCAATAGAGTAACAGGTGATGAAGCATGCTGATGCTTGGAACAAAATTATGCTGTCAAGAGCTTACTATATAGTCTATATTTTCCACTAAAGTCAAAGTGGGAATAAAGGTAACAAGCAATACTATCATAAATGCAATATCCAGACTCACTCTCGGGTGAAGAGGTCTGTTTGGATGCACGTCGCCAAGGGTCCTGTGATCCATTAGTGAAGATTATTTTTGAACCTGTCAATGTCCATAGAACAAAAAAAAAAACAAACAAACAAACAANTTCTATCTGTCACATTTCTGAAAAATAAAAAAATGTTCCATTATGTCACTTTTGGAAAACCCAGAGAATTAAATGCATATTTTCTTGAATGATGAGTGAATTAATGTTAATCAATTTATTTCTTTCCAAATACCATTTGATTGGGAAGCTAAATGATTCCTCATTGAATCTGATCAATAACTAAATTATAAAACACATATTATAAAATATAGAAACATAAAGATAGTTCGCTAATATGAATGAAAAAATCTAGGACGACTAATACAACGAAACAGAGGGAGTAACACATTAAATATGGACCATAACCATGCAATGCCATTTTGATCCATCAACAACTATATATATATATTTTTTTTTATCGATGGATTCATAGGGCCAGAGCTACACAAACTGGTAAGGGAACAAAAATGTCAATTGACTTTACCAGCGATTTTTGTGCCTCCATAGTATATATTAGTCGCTGTAACATCAGGATAGATACCTTCCCCAAAAACATTCTTGCAGAGGTCCAAATGATAACTGAAATTAGTGAAAACTCGACTCATTTACACATTGTCTGTTAGCTAAAAGAATTCAAAACATTTACGACATTAAAAAGAATATTTTCAGTAATCCAAGAAAAAAAATTGGCATATGACTTAATTACCTGGTATCAACTTTTGATGAGCGGATACTATCATTTGAAGGTGCAACTTGGAAATATGCCACTTCTGTACAGACTTGGAACCACCATAATCGATCAGAAGTACCACTGGCTAATGTAGTATTCTTCAGATGTTCTTGATTGTATGTTTCAACACTAACACCAAAACTTTTGATATAATACTCCTTCACATACGTGGCATATGCTTCCTGGATGCCAAAATGTCAGCATTTCAGGATGGAAAGTATTTATTACAGTAAAATGAGGTAAAAGCATATCTTATAGATAAATGGTTAAGCACAGATCAGGAAACTGTTCAAAATTCCTCAGATTAGGCTGGATTTTGTACATTTTTTACTTCAACTGATAGAAGTAGTTTCTGAGTGCACTAAAGGACTTAGTAAGTACTAGAAGGAACGAATGCATAATTATCCTAGATAAGAATGCAGAGCCTGATCTAGTTACAACCCTTGTTGGGTGTTTAAATTTCTGGTCCAAGTCAGTCAAGTTATATGTATGATTTCACATGCATTTCTGAGTGTACATATGCATGCAAAAACATATGTAGACGTAAATATGTCCATGTGCAGAAACAAGTTCATATGTGTGCGCTCATGATGTGAAATAGGGATGATCACAAAATCCACCCATAAAGTTATACCTAATTAGAAAGAAATCCAGTTACTTCTAAAGCTACCCATGCCCCTATTACTATTGCAATTTACTAGATCCACTTGAGGTTTGTATTTACCGAAAAAATAAACCATCTCCGGGACACAATTACGAAAATAATAACAAATATGGAATTTTAAAAGATATTACGGTTGTTCTTTTATGGTACATATACTAAAACCCAGTACGATTTTTGCGGGAGTCTGGATCTGTAAGCGCCAGCGGCTATTGAAGTACTAATATGACTCTATAGATGTTTGACTGAGTTCAAGTGACCATGAGTGCGTACAAAAGGGAAGCTAAAAATTGTAATTTTGTTAGAAACAAGAATGACAAGCATAATTTTGGTAAGCTCCAACAAGCCAAGTAGCAACATATATATATTTTTCAAAGTTACCAATGACACACAACTTTCCCATGACTAGGGAGAACACAGAGGTAACTATACTGAAAAAGCTTACTACTAAATCGTTCCCAGCTTTCTTTGCTTCAACAAGAGGGATGCAAAGCTTATCCGGATTTCCATATTGAAACTGAAAAAAAGCAACACATGCATTAACCATTTTGGAAGCTAAAAATATTCTATTGAACAAAGTTGCGTTATCACATACCGCTGTAACTGCAGCATCCGCCAGAAAATACATAAAATCACCATCATTTTTCAGCTGTACAAAGAAAATCATCATAAACTTAGGACTTTGATCGCATTTACACAAAGTTATATCCTCACCCAACTGGGAAATAGAAAATGGAAAACGGTATACCTCGGCTGCACTAAATAAATTTTTGAGTGCTTTTTCATTAGATCCAAGTTTCTGATCAACAAGTTGAGTAATTTCTTGCAACACAGCTTTACATTCGGGACCTGCAGATTCACCTATCTGCATAAGAGTATTAACAGCTATATGCTTAGATAGTCAATACTGAAGCTACAGAAAATAAGAAAGTGGAAACTCAATGGCAAGGCAATACCAGGTGGTGAAGTAAAAGATTTATAAGTAAAACTTTGAGGAAGGGTTAAAAATGAATGGCTAGAAAATATTTATATTAACCTGCTTATCAAATTCTGTGAAGTTGTAAACAGCAAGGACAACTGCAGAACTTGCAAGACTTCCACAAGTAAGGTGAGGAAACTTCAGGCGAAACCATGCGCTGAGGGCTCCGGCGTATGAAACACCAAAGATAAACCATGGATTATCAATATTTGATCTGTTGAGCTTTGTGTTTAAGGAATCCTGAGCAATTCATATGAATGGATAAAGGGGATCAGTTTTTAAAATGAAAAAAGATGAAGAAAAGCTCTGTGGATTGTTTTCTCATTATTCTAATAGAATAATTCAATTCAAAACATTGTTTCCCATGAAAGTTGCTTAACAGCCCTCCCAATGTGCTACCAATTTTAGCAGTAAAAATAACACCTCACTTCCAGTCAAAAGAGTACATAGGATTATATCTGTACTTGCCTGATAATACTTTCTGAAAACAGCTAAATCAAAGAGAGCTTGTTTTGATGACAGATATCTCAGATTCTTTGTTGTCAATGACTGAAAGGGGGAACTCTTTCCATAATAACGATGCTCAGGAGAAACCACAGCTGCTCCAAATTTCTTCGCCAAAACCTGTTAACTTTCATGATTTAGAAATATATGAACACTTGAAGTGATCAGTATGCAGCAAAACACTTTGAGATCAAGAAACTGAAGTCACTCCCAGTCGTTTTTAGTTTGATACAGGTACATATGTTTCAACTAAGGTACAAGGATTGCGAAGTTTTTTACCATCCCACAAGAAAGGTAATATACGAAGTTATTTTAACAGATGAAAAAAATAGTTAAGAAATTAGATTACTTTGGGTGTCACTATATGCTGTATCTTGCTCCTGAATGAACTCCCCCTTAAACATGAATTCTTCTATTGATACTCTTGTGAAATAGATACCAAGAGATATGAATGACATATCTAAAAACACTCCCAAATAGACAAAAGTTACTCTATTGCTGAAAGATCGTGAAGGTCACTTCCAAATAGCCACATAGTTGAAGTTAATTCAGTTAATTGATTGAATTTAGCATGTGAACAGAAACCTTCATACTCATCCTGTCAACAGTTTTATAGTATTCTGAAGTGCAAAGTTTTTACATCTAACTTTTGTTAGGTTACAATCAAGGTTACAAATAGCTGCGAGATATTATAACAAACTCTTCCAGTCTAGGAGTAGACTTACGCCCACATAGTCATTGACAATCCCATTGCAAGTAGATTCTCCACATATCTTAAGAAATATGGGCCCATCAGGGACTCTGAAATGATCAAGATATTCATAGTAGCGTTGCTTGAATTGACGGTGATCCTGCAATTGGGAAAAAGAATAAATAAAGAGAAATGAATGGGAAATGCGGAAAAGAAAAAGAAAGAAAGAAAGAAAGAAAGAAAGAAATACAATTGAGCTGAATACACATTTGTAACATGGACAAGAATTCTCACAAAGTGATGCAAACATAGACTTAGTCATGTTTTAATCTTTAATGGATATGTGAGTAAGTCAATTTTTGGATACTCTTGGTATATACATGTATAACCCAATTCTCATTGAAAACACACAGAAAGTTATTCAGATAGATCTTATCCAAGCAGCTCATATATTCAGTACATCAATTCAATGTGAGAGTTTGAAGCCAATACAGCACATGTATCAGCCAATGAGCCGCTCGCAAATGTGAGCTTGTGGACTGAACCGTGAAGGCCATTTTAACGGTAAGAGGTTCTTTAGCTCGAGGTCCGAAATGTCTAGAGGTCGGACAGGTCACCTCTGTCCTCGAGTTCGTGCGGTTAGCTTGTGGGTCACACAGAGGCCGGACGACCTATTATTTAATCAACCCAGCAAGGAAATTGGACAGGGCATCAGGTCGGTATATTGTGTTGACCTGATGAGAGGTTAATCTACTCTTGATACATTTATCACAACTGATCCCCGGATTTGCAGGACTTTCTTCTATCTGGACATCTATTCGGAATAGGTAATTTAAATCGTATAAATATGTGCATGTGTCACATATAAACCCTAATTGGCTAATTATAATTTCATCACCTACACAGTCTTGATATACTTGCAAGATATTTTCCGACTATAGCACCGAAGTGTCTAAGCCAGGAATACCTCCCGGAGAATTGCAGCCTGCAGGTTAACAGAGACCGAGTTACAGGTGGAGCATACATCGAACCTGGTCTACTTGGTGTGGATCACATCGAAAAAACTTTTTAGTCTCAGTGTCTAACCAACTTCAAAATAGGCTACATAATCTCCAATCCCCACTCCAATCAAACCACACACACCAAAACTTTCCACAAAGAAGCGGCGGTAAAGTCCAAACATGTAAATGGGTGTGTGTAACCAAAATTAAAGGCTTCAGTCACATGCCTCAAGAGCTAGAACAGCTGTGATCAACGATACAGCTGAACCAGAATACAGCAACATAATCCCGCATATAATTCTATTAAGGTTCGATTCCCAATTTCCAACGCTCAAAAACAACCAAATTATGCACCAACAAATCATGAGTCAAATGAATCAGAAAGAGTTTGAAGAGAAAGGGGCGTACGTAAGGAGAGAAGTGATCGAGAGTTTGATCGAGCCAGTGCTCTTCGGTGGTCAAATAATTATTGCTGCCGGACGCCGGCAGCCGTAGGTGAGTTGGAGCTGACATACCAACTGATGCAGCCATCAAAATTAACAATGAAATGGCGATTGGGATCCACGCCGTGGCATGCCCGGCGAGCTTCATCGTGTTGATATTGTCTTTCTAATGGTAGAAATTTGGGGGTTGTCGCCGAAAACTTTAAATTCTCTTTTCTCAGGCCAACTTTAACATCATCCACTTTCTACTTGTCGAAAACCTCCTCACTACTCGAATAAAATAAAATAATCATTGTAAGTTATAGGCTTATAGCCCATAAATCTTATAAATTATTAAAAATTAATTTTGAATATTAATAATAACTTTTATCTTTTCTATTTTTATTTTTATTTTTATAATATACAATTAATTTAATATATAATATTTATATATATTCATAAAACAACGGTTGTTTAAAAATAAGATACTTAAAGATAAAGATTTTAAAATGTTTAAACAATATAAATAAATATACTCATAAAAATATTTTTCTCTCTGTCATTCTTGTCTCTTCTTTTACTCATATCTTTATTCTGATATATTATTTCGATTCATAAATAATTAATTGTAAAGTTGAAAATTTGTAGTGAATATAAAAAAATTGACACTTCATTTAAAAAGAACATAGTGTATATTATTTTAAAGTTATCAAATTTACTGACTTTTAATTACATCAAAATTAATTTATTATTTTCTTGTAATTTATAATATAGTATATGAAAAATGTTTTAAATTTTATTTCTAACCTAAAAATTCATATGACAATTCGTGATTAGTTGATATATCATTATAATTTATAACAATATACATTATAAATATATATTTTTTTAATTTAACAATTTACATCGTTGTTTCATAGACGACTTGTTGATTATCAATGTAATTTGTAATAATATAAATTATAAATACTTTGTGTTTTATTTATAAGATAATAATCTATGTTGTAGTTCAAGAGATGATCTATCAGTTTGTCACTATAATTTGTAATAAATAGGTTCATAATATTTTGATTTTTCTTTCTAAACTTAAAATACATTTTGACAGATGAGTCATTGGTTTATAATAATCTCTAAAAATACATATTATAAATATTTTGATTCTTTAGATTATTAAATATTAAATACATATTACTATACATACACTTATTTATATATATATATCTATATATATATTAAAGTGAAGCAAGCTAAAAATTCCCTCCAAAACTATATTAATTACTAGAAATAAATTTTACCAACTTCTATGTAAAATTTTCATCAAAAACTACATTTACTACATTGAAATAAATTTTTATCAATTTCTATGCATGATTTATCAATAAAAAAATATTTGTTAGATATGAATAATTAATTTGTTTTCATAATTGTATTGGAATTTGCACTCCAATTTCTCTTGGCTAAATAAATGCTTCAACTACTTATGACCATGAAATAAATTTTGTTAATTTCTGTGTATTATTTATCATTCAAATAATATCATAATTATTTGTTACAAATAAATACTTATTTTAGTCATAATCAATAATTGTACAAATTTTCGTTAAATATTTTTATGCTTTGTGAGTGACATAATTATTTGTTACAAATAATATTTAATACTATACATAATTATTTATTATGAATTCTCATTCCAATATCCCACTTATTATTTGTCTCTCTTCCCATTTGTGAGTATGAGTTCCTTTCCTTATATATTATAATTTTTTCTTATAAAAATAAATTATCAATCTCATTTAATTAATCATTAAAATAATTTTTAAAGTAAATTTTTTATTTAAAATCATTTTATATCTATTTTTATTTATTTTGGAACATCAAACACAATATTAATCTTTTTGGTTATATTCGAAATATTTCAAGGTAAAATAGAAAAAATCATAACTAATACAATATCTGCATGTAATATAATAAATAAATATTTTTATAACTTTTAATTTGGTATCTATATTGCATGTATATAGCTAAACTTTTAGATTCGATATATCAATCTAAAATTCAATATCGTTTATTTTAACATACACATGTTCAATGTTTATATATAAATATCTAATAGTAGCACCATGTCACGTTTGACACATATACTCTAATATGATGAAATTTACGTACACGTTGATAAAATATGTAATCATCTCTTATTAATCTAATATTATATGATTTTATATCTCTATCTAATTCTAAAAAATTACAAGTAACCATTAAATTATTTGTATTGAGCACCTCATTCCTAAACAATATATTTTAATATAAATTATAGAAAGTCTAATCATTCACAAACTCTTATATGAGCTGGAGTAAGGTTTAGTCAAGTCAACGTGTCATTCTTTTTTAACAAAAATGCGATCTTAGACTTCTAAATTTCATACTTTTGGTTATTTTATTTTATAATATATTTTTTTATTTAATATTGACAGTGATCATCTTAATTATTTTCTTAATATAATATTATAAAAATAAAAATTACAACTTTAAAGTATATAATAAAAAATAATTCAATATGTATAAACATAAATTTTTTTTGTACAATGAGGTGAACATTTATTTTCATAGTTTGTGTACAACATAAAAATAATTGATTAGTATAGACATAAATTTGTATTTTGTACAATGAGGTGAACATTTATTTTCATAGTTTGTATACAACATAAAAGTAATTGATTTATTAGTGTTCGGACATAGCATCTAATTTAGTTTCATTTATGGGTAAGCAATATAAGAATATTGTGAAATAAAAAATTTTGGAAAATGATGACAGAAAGAGTGAGAATTTCAACAACAACAAGAGAGATAAAAAGTGATATTGCAGTTTTGACTATGAAGACGAAATGATTCTATTGATTGAATATTTTGACCCGATAATTATTTGTTTCATCTATTTTATTTGAACTTGAATTTGAGGTTATGTAAAAGTTGGTAAAAATTGACCTCCCTTATTTTTTTTTTAATAAATACACAATAATGCTGTTTATAAATAAAAATAGCATAATGTGTCAGTTACCATTTAATTTTTCTTTAGAAGCATATTATCGCAACTGAATGTTGTAGTAGATAAAGTTAAACAAAACTTATTATAATGCATTAAATACTTTTTCCTTATCATCTATCACAATGTTAATTTCACAAGAATATTTTTTTTAATATTATATAATATAATTTAAATGTCTTTTTCTTATTACTTTACAAAAAATTTGTCAATGTGCGTTTCTAAAAACTACATTGAATTGTAATTCATATTGATTTGTGCAATTACTTGATCTATTTATAACTTTACAAAAAATGATCAATCTTCCATGTCATTCTCTAATCACCATCACACTTATTTTGCAAAAAAATTTGAAATGTTGATATTTATTTTGTTAATAAAAAAGTGCAAAATATGTGGACCTAATTTAAAATTAAATACATGCGGATAGAAGTCATTTTTTTTATTAAGTATTTAATTTATATTTATAAATTTTGATTTACTCATCTTTGTAACATGTTAACTTTAATTATTAATATATTACTTTATTTGTAGAATAGTAATTATGACTTTATCTTTCTGTACCTATGGAATTATGTTATCATGTAGATATTTTTATGAAAAATTATCAAGGAGTGTCATTAATGTGACAAATAATTTTTTTCATAGTATATCACATTCTTTTGTAAGCTTATGAATTTAATATTTAAAATTTTAAGAAAAAAATATATTGTATTTTTTAATTACAACAATTATTCGTTGTTATTGTTTCTATAGTCATGAATCCATGTTGTCTATTGTTATTACAGTAGGTGATAATGACCACAACTCCTCCACTATTAATACTATATTAATGTTATATTTGTGAAAGTATATTTAGTGATTTAGTAAAAAATTTAGTCTACATTATATCAATAGATGTTTTTTAAAATATTTTTCTATTAAATTATCATTCATTCACATCATTTTTAATATTAAGCCGCGCAACGCGCGGGTAACGTACTAGTATATATATTAAACTGAAGTAGCTGGAATTTTTCCTCCAAAACTATATTAATTACTAGAAATAAATTTTACCAACTTTTATGTAAAATTTTCACCAAAAACTACATTTACTACATTGAAATAAATTTTTATCAATTTATATGCATGATTTATCAATAAAAAAATATTTGTTACATATGAATAAATAATTTGTATTCATAATTGTATTGGAATTTGCACTCCAATTTCTCTTGACTAAATAAATGCTTCAACTACTTAAATGACCATGAAATAAATTTTGTTAATTTCTGTGTATTATTTATCATTCAAATAATATCATAATTATTTGTTACAAACAAATACTTATCTTAGTCAAATCAATTATTGTACCAATTTCCATAAAATATTTTTATGCCTTGTGAGTGACATAATTATTTGTTACAAATAATATTTAATACTATAAATAATTATTTATTATGAATTCTCATTCCAATATCCCACTTATTATTTTTCTCTCTTCCCGTTTGTGAGTATGAGTTCCTTTCCTTATATATTATATTTTTTTCTTATAAAAATAAATTATCAATCTCATTTAATTAATCATTAAAATAATTTTTCAAGTAAATTTTTTTATTTAAAAATATTTATTTTTAATATATGTTTTTATTTATTTTTAATATCAAACACAATATTAATTTTTTCCGTTATATTCGGAATATTTCAAGGTAAAATAGAAAAAATCATAACTAATACAATATCTGCATGTAATATAATAAATAAATATTTTAATAGTTTTTAATTTGGTATCTAAATTGCATATATATAGATAAACTTTTAGAATCGATATGTCAATTTAAAATTCTATGTTGTTTATTTTAACATAAACATGTTCCAATGTTTACATATAAATATCTAATAGTAGCACCATGTCATGTTTGACACATATACTCTAATATGATGGAATTTACGTACACGTTAATAAAATATGTAATCATCTCTTATTAATCTAATATTATATTATTTTATATCTCTACGTAATTTTAAGAAATTACAAGTAACCATTAAATTATTTGTATTGAGTACCTCATTCCTAAACAATACTCTAATATGATGGAATTTACGTACACGTTAATTGTAAAAAGTCTAATCATTCACAAATTCTTATGTGAGCTGGAGTAAGGTTTAGTCAAGTCAACGTGTCATTCTTTTTTAACAAAAATGCGAATTTAGACTGCTAAATTTCATACTTTTGTTTATTTTATTTTATAATATATTTTTTTTAAATAACAAATGCAATAC